TTGGTTGCCAACGCGGATGTGGAGATGCGACAGACAATGCGGGTAGAGGGTTAGTGGTAACATCGGAGAGCCATCAATCGTCACCAGCTACATTCTACAGGCGTTTAGGGCGCTCCGAAGCTTCGCTCCAATTAAATTACGTCGGCATTATTAGTTAAACGATTTATTGGCATTTTAATTAGTGCTTAAACGTTGTGGCTTTGCTGTAAAATCCATTTTACGCAGCGTGAAAGGATGGATGGTCTCGCGCAAATTAGATTCTGTATTTGGAAATGTTTATCGAAGATTAAAAAAAGGTACTTTGGTTTAAAAACTGATAATGAATTGTCTTAAATTTGTAAGTGGTTACAATATGGTTGTGACTTGTAAGTAAAAGCTTAACATACTGTTTATGGTTGTGTTAAACAATTGCGTGGGAAGACGTCGTACAAACATAGAAAGTTAGCGTCTTTCGGATGTCCAGATAAGAAGCTTTCATACTTTAAGAGCTTAAAGGGAACAGTGAAGAGATGTCTAATGGTTTTTGGAGTGGTGAAATTGACTGACTGAAGCTTGTGACCTTGAATTCTTTTCATGAACCCGACATATTTCTTTTAGTCATGTAATTGTACTCTAATGATGCTAATCGTCTAATTATGTTGATGATTTCGGCAATAGTACAAGGAAAAAAGATGATTGTATCTAAATACAATACAATAGCGTTTTATCGTCACGTTTTGAATCAGCACTATCACAATGATGGTTCAAAGAATCATTTATGAACTGTTGTTGCGCCGGCAAAAACTTGGATATGTATGACGGACTTGGGTGAATGGTCAACGAGGTTCATTGTTGACTGGACGGGAAAGGTTATGACAAATCCTAGTGTTCATAGTTCTTTGGGAGATCTTTAACCTGTTGAATTAGTGAAAATGTCGTCTTCAACATTTTGGAATATTATTTTTGACACACTGGAAACAGCCAATGTAACTTACTACGTATTACTGACTAGCTATTTCACATATCAAGCTATGTCATACATCCGCGGTGCCACACGGTGCTCTTCTCTTGTTGACCGTAGCGTCATGTTTTTTTTTAGTTTATAGCCTTCTTCGATAAATTGATTATCTAATACAAAAATAGTCATTCATTTAAACCAGTCGTTCTGGAGATTAGAGCGTTCAAGCAAACAAACAAACTCTTCAACTTTATACTATTAGTACAGTTTAAAATATTTGAAGAGCAACCGACACAGGCATCTCTTAATGCGGTCTTGCCAGAAGGAGTACGTGGTCACTACAGCTTATCATCTGATCACATCAATATAGAAACTTTGTATCCTTTCCACGCCAATTAAGCTTTTTTTTCGTATAAACACAAGTTTTTGCAGGATTGCCTCGGGCGTTCCTTCATATAAGGATATGGCATAACGCATGACAGCCAACCTGACCAGGCGCGTGTTTAATCACACGTTAAAGAATCGCAACGTGATTTAGAAACCGGTTCAACTCAATATCAGGTTTCTGGACCGCGTAATGTACATATTAATGGTGTGCCTAAGACTTATTGGTTTTCGTGTGCAATTTGATTCATTGCTCTATAAAGCTATGTAAGGTATTTACGGATTTTTATTCGTATTTGTCTTCGTCGTTATTATTTGATTAATTATTTGTATTAGTCTTAGAAGTATTCGTAGCAGGGCCAAAACCTATTCTACTATGAATGTACATTTTTATAGCTAAGTAAATGCGAAAGGTGTTTTAGCTATTAACTGTTTAACTAGACAAAGGTGTCTCAGCTCTTTATAGTGTTATAAACTTCTTAGGTGCCTCATAATAAAAATAGAATTTTTATTTGAATTACATTATACTGACAAGCAGCTGCATTTAAACCACCTGCGTTGCAGTAATATACCTAGATCAACACTAACACATCATAGGCGAAAACTACATTCAGTTCAAGCTAAATTAGGCTTTATTTATAAACAAAAAATACGCAGGACAATAAACAATCGCCTACACAGGTAAGAAAAAAACTTAAACGATAGACAGTTACCATGTGCTTCTGACCTACGCAAATGTTAACGAAGATACGTACAAATGCAAACGAGATTACGACATACGTGTAACTTGGTCTTTAGCCGGATCTATCGTATGCAGTTAAAATCTCATTCAAAACATTACATTTTACATTTTAATACTCACATTAAACGTATTACGTCTCACAATCTCGTTATAAAAATCCATCTGAATAAAGATGATCAATTTTATCTTCTTCGTCTCTCAATTTACGATCAATTTGGGCATCGATTAATTTTAAGAGAGTATTTTAATTAAGGTTACGTATGTTATGTAGCCAGCTTTGATTCGAATTCGGTCAAGTACTACAGCAGTCTATATTGAAAAGCTGCTTCGGAGAAAATTTGCAATGTAGATCGTTCAACCGTATGCTTGTTGGGAGCCAAGATTATAACTGCATAGTGAATAGGTGCCAGAATTTTAAACAGAACACCTGCAAATTTGCAAGGTGCAACATAATAAATGCATTAAGAAAACACTCTTTTCAAGTGAAAGAGTATCTTGAAATGAAACGCAGCTTGTTCCATATTTTCCATATTTCTTTAAAATTGAATTAATAAACTTTACTCGGAATAAAATCGTGATTATTATATTTATTTAGTCAAACGATAAGTTTCTGAAGGACATCCTTCGAACTGGCAATCGTGACTAGCTTATAAATGTTACACTGCTGAATGCTACAGTGATCTAACTCTTTTGAAAGAACAAATGGCCCCATCTTTTTCGTAGAACATGACTGAGTTCTCCTTCAAAACATAGTATGACGATTCACTGAAGCGTCTACCTATTAGCAGTATTAGGGATACTGTGGTTGTCCATAAAGATTGTTGTGCCAAAGCAATTAAGTTTCTTTTACTCTAAGATAAGCAGGAAAATAACAAAACAATACGGTAGTCGCTAATGAATCATACGAGGTCGAAGCACGTGGCGAATAAGATAAATTTAAGATAATAATTCAGAATAAGGACTTGGAAGCAAAGTCCTAAGCTATAACGAAACGTGAAGGGAAACCTGAAATCCTCACTCTCCGATACTTTTATTGGAGAAAGTTATCTTTTTAGAAAGCTTTGTAACTTTTATTTTACAGTTATAGCAAAATAAGTATTTGGAAAAACGCAATTCTGTGGTTAGGTAGTGAAATCCTACACAACACGGAATGCAAATGATTATGAAGTATTCAAGGTTGTATTGATAATTGCCATTAGAGCGGGCTTTATTATACTCGGCTGCAAGTCTATGACACGTATGACATGACTAGTTTGTGTAATATTAGCACAAAACTACCTAAGTATGTTCCTATTAGATGGAGCAAAAACGAGCAATGTTTTAGTTTCATTATTTTTTGCAGATTTGTACATGAATAAAGTGCTCGCAATTATGGGCACGATGTCGTAATTTCCTGGTAAATATTTCTGCAGAATATACCGGATTCATTTTATTTACATTCTTAAGTACATTTGGAGGATGTCCAAGGAATATGAACCGCATCATATTTCAATACTGATGAATATTAAAACAAATATGTACTGACGTCAATGTCAGGACGTTAAAGATTATGCTTGGAGCAGACGTGACACGGAGAAGGAATAGTATCGACCGACGATTAGGAAGACCTACAAGAGTTCAACCAATAACAATATCACGTACACAGATTCAACTGAGCGTGTACTCCTGCGTCACTATTGTGTTGGTGAGGCCTTTCTCATTGTGCTCATTGTCAAGCTTGTCTGTGTCTGTGACATTACAAATATAGGTACCTACGTGATAGTGGAACTCTATGTAACGAGTTTTTGCGTCATGTGAACGTTGTGCTATGCGATAATGATACGTCACAATCTATAAGTTCCATGTCAGCTGTTTCTTAGAAGTTTATTTAAGATTCCTCCTTCCTCCTCCATTTGTAGAGGAGACTGATTTTACTGATTTGGGATCAAGGTTCGGGTAGTCAATATCTATGTTTTGCAATTCTCAGTAAGTGCGGTTTCGTGTCGCATAAAAAATGTAACACGCAGCTATTATGGTATTTCCGATGACTAGTGTGGGCTCAAGTTTAGCAGAAAGTAACTTCTAATCTATTAAAGTACAGTTAACATTAAGTTTAAAATAATTCATAATTAATTAGTGAATAACAATAAACGCAATATTGGCCGGCTGAATGAATAATGCAATCAATTGTTTTCATTATAGACACGCGAGGCAGATAAGCCACAATGCTATCTAAATCGGCACATTAGTTGTATACACAAATAACCTAGTTTGATATTTCCATGGCTCGTTTGATTATGAGCAATAAAAAGTGTCGATAGGCGTCCTGATTTACAGTTTCCTACATTGCCAAACACGCTCGTAAGACCAAGCAAACGGAGCGAGCACGTATCTTCGTACAGAGTATGGCACACGCCCGATAAGCCCAAATGTATGAACAACATCTGTTTTTTAAACTGCGCCCGTGTCTGTGGTGTGTACATTATTTATTCCATGTTGCCATGTTTGCATTAAACACTGGGGAGCTTTTCTATTTTCGGTCTCTACGTCTAGTTTCTACAAAATTGTTGTCATTAAAGCCCGCGATACAGCTCTCGATACGAACTTTCGTAATTCCGGCATGATCGCAACAAGTATCCTTATAAAGCGATGGAATGTACAGTCAACATTTTTTAGTTCATCGCAGGCGTTCGACAGCCAAAAAGCATTTTTTATTGCTGTTTGGGAAAACCTGAAATTGTTTAACTATCCGTTGAATTTTATGATGTGTTTAAAATTAACGTGGCGTTTATGAAACAGTTAAATTCGTATGAGACGTATAGGGGAAGTGTAAAAAATATGGCTAGAATTTAATAACTAACAACATTAGCGATGTGATTAGTAACACATTAATGATAACAAACAACCTATTGCACAATTTAAAAGGAGGACAGATAGAAAATTAAAAGTGGAACGTACCATTTCTTTCTTGAGATAAGCGAGTTGTGAGTCGAGATCTGTGGGTGGTTTGTCTGATGGCGGTGATGGGGTTTCTTGGAGGTCCGGCTCACCGTCTGCGAAGCCACTAAGACTTTTTGGCAGAGGCGGTAGTCCTTGCAGAGACATGGTGCTGATTGCGCGGAACTGCTTACGAAGTCTGAACAAAAATATTGTAATAAGATGACAATCTGTAAATTCGTTACAACTTTATAACTATAAAGCATATCAGAGTATTGAAAGCTATTAAGTTAATAACATTTCGGCATTATGAATTTTTGTAAAGGGACGTTTATTCAAGTGTATAATAATAATTACAACAACAATTAGCGTGCGTTCGTGCAGCGGAATGTTGTTGAATTTAAAGATTTTAATTATGCAGATATTTAGTGTATGACGTCGTATAATTGTGTATGGTAAAAAAAAATTTGTGCACGCAACCATTGTGGAGAAATTCACCAAAAACTGATTCCGCTGGGCGAACGTTGTCCTGGCGGAACTTTTTTTAATCCATAGACTTTAGAAGAAAAGAGATGTATCCAAAAATTAGTGTGTATTTGTGTGTAATTGTGTATGTATGAATAAAACTAGTGCATGCATAAACTTCGGAGAAATTCAAGTTTCCGCTACGCGAACGTTTGGCCATTAGCTAGTTTTCATATAAAGCGCTTACATAGAGAGCTGTAGATTTTTACATACGTTGTTTTGAATTTGTGTATATTTGTTTAAAAAACAGATTTAGAAAAAATCGTAGGGTTTAAAAGATAAAAATATAAACGTAAAATACGCTTATTAGGTCTTAGCTCTTAAAGTATGCACTTTAGGGTCTAGATTTTCACGTTTATACAAACCTTGTAAGTGTCTGCAACATGTTGCCAAGTATCAATGATGTTCCGTTAGTAATTAAATAGTTATAGGACAAATTTACCATGAATAGATCACTGTTTACAAAGCAGTCAAATATCACGACGTTCTAAATGAATTGCATGGTAAAATGTATGCCAATAATTAGTGTATTCATTCAACTATTCACATGCAAAATTTCATGTCATTAAATTCAGTAGTTAAAGAAAAACAATTATAATACTGACGAAGTATCGAAAACCTACATAACCCGACCAAGTTCGGATGGCTACAAAAAAGCGGCTGTTCAATATATTTAGGTAACATCCCAAAATTTACAGTATGTATTGAATTGGTACAGGTGATAACACACTTGTTGTTTCGAAATAATTTATAGGTCATTTATTTTTGGACACCTACTTTTTTAAATGTATTTGACTATGACAGAAAGTAGGTACTATTTACGTAGGTACTTTATTTAAGTATGCGCTTGAGATTTGAGAAATAAAATAAAATTCATACAGCTAATTTCTATTGAAGATTTCACGGATCAGGATTCTAACTATAGACCCCTTAGGGAAATTAAATATTTACCACATGTAAGTACTTAAGTACTACTGTTAATATTTATCATATTGTAGCAATATTTTTCAATATTTTTTATTACACTATTTAACCAATAGAGGCATGTACGAGCGTGTGTACGATACTGTGTTTTATTTTTTCCTAACGCTTGTGTACGATAATGTACCATATTAATAAATGCTATATTGGAAAGTTAAGAACGTTTCTTAGATATATGGCACGGCCGCTTTTTTGTAGCCATCCGAACTTGGTCGGGTTATGTAGGTTTTCGATGCTTCGTCAGTATTATAATTGTTTTTCTTTAATTACTAATAATAATAATAAATAAATAAAATTTATTGAAGAACACATAATCTGGAATATACAGTTTTGCTTAAAGCTATACCAAGTTCATAATATTGGGTGCCTGAACTAGGACAACCTGTGTTTCAGGCGAAAATGGGTAAAAAGATATTATACATTGTTAAATAATCATAAGTACATAAGTGTTTTTAAATTAAGGAAATAATACTACTATTTATATTAAAAATAACAGGATAAAACGATACTTAAATTCTATATCTATGTCTAATTAAATAAAAATTAAACCATAAATAAAAATAAATACCTTTAATACAGTTATTTAGGAACTAATAATAACTTCTCTGTGTCTTCATAGGACATGTCTTGAAGTGCTTCGATGAGGATTTTTTTACAGGTATGGAGATTGTAGGAGTAAAAGGATAAAGTCGCATTCAGTTTGTTGTATAGGAAAGGTCCGAGGAATACAAAAAATTTTGTTATAAAAGTGTGTTTTGTACTTTTTGCTGGGCAAACGATATCTTTCCTTCTACTGAATTTAATGACATGAAATTTTGCATGTGAATAGTTGAATGAATACACTAATTATTGGCATACATTTTACCATGCAATTCATTTAGAACGTCGTGATATTTGACTGCTTTGTAAACAGTGATCTATTCATGGTAAATTTGTCCTCTAACTATTTAATTACTAACGGAACATCATTGATACTTGGCAACATGTTGCAGACACTTACAAGGTTTGTATAAACGTGAAAATCTAGACCCTAAAGTGCATACTTTAAGAGCTAAGACCTAATAAGCGTATTTTACGTTTATATTTTTATCTTTTAAACTCTACGATTTTTTCTAAATCTGTTTTTTAAACAAATATACACAAATTCAAAACAACGTATGTAAAAATCTACAGCTCTCTATGTAAGCGCTTTATATGAAAACTAGCTAATGGCCAAACGTTCGCGTAGCGGAAACTTGAATTTCTCCGAAGTTTATGCATGCACTAGTTTTATTCATACATACACAATTACACACAAATACACACTAATTTTTGGATACATCTCTTTTCTTCTAAAGTCTATGGATTAAAAAAAGTTCCGCCAGGACAACGTTCGCCCAGCGGAATCAGTTTTTGGTGAATTTCTCCACAATGGTTGCGTGCACAAATCTTTTTTTACCATACACAATTATACGACGTCATACACTAAATATCTGCATAATTAAAATCTTTAAATTCAACAACATTCCGCTGCACGAACGCACGCCAACAATTATATGTAATCAGTGTAGAAGTGCAGAAAACAAAATTAATGACCATAATGTTATTTAAAATTAATGAAACCGCAGAAGTTCAACAAAATTTTTCTACAATCGTAAGAGTGGAATGTAAATTCTTTTAGCGTTTTATTGTTATTTAAACAAGCAAGTACTGACGAGACTATTGGCATACATAACCGGGTTTAATGAATTTGTATGACCTTTACATACAAACTACAACACGCCCATAGCAAGAGGGAAGTACAGTGTAACGATTTATTCATAAGATAAGAAATATTAAGTTGTTATTGATGGAAAACACACCTAGACTTAAGGTCATCGTCGAGTATATATGCGTAAGCCTGATCATCGTCCGTATTCCCGCTGGTTACTGAAGACATGGCGTAGTTTTGTTCAGAGTCCTCAGAATCACAGTGTCCATTCGTTTCTGCGTACTCCGGGGCATCTAATGTTTCTGGCACGTTAGATTGTGACCGCATCGTCTGCAATTCGTATATCAACATCTCGTGGTTGTTCATGTCTTTCATCTTTTCCATGTCTGGAGTATCGTGACCGTTAATCTTCAAGCTTTCTTTCCCTTTATCTATTACTGTATGCGCTTCGTCTTTGTCGTTATTTCTACTAGCAATGATCTCTGAAATTAACATTTCTGTCACCCTCGATGTTTTTCTTTCCAATGAGTTGGTATTTTTGTTTACATTTTCATCGACTTTTGGACTTTCTGGAACATTTTGTATCTCCTTAGGAGTATTTAATTGTTTAGACGGACTGTTTCTCAGCCTATCGTCAAATTCTTGCATTTCCTCAACCGACGCGTATGGTGCTTCTGACGTAGGACTTTGTAGAGGTCTCGCATCTATTGGAGATGAGTAAGGACTTATGTCTGGTGAGATTTTAGTTTTACTGCTATGTACAGGACTTTTATGTACAGGCAAAGGCTTTATTGGTTTTAACTTAGGTTTAGGAGATAACGGAGGCGGAGGTGCTTTTCGTAAAGGTAGGGTTTTTTCGGCGAAACTAGATGATTTTGATACTTTGCATTTTGAGTCTTGATCCAACTTATTCGATGTTGAGAGAGATCTTACTAATATTTGTCTGCAAGTTTTAACTGCTTTAGAGTTTAGCGATTCATTCGATTTTTTATTCGATGTCGGTGTTGGAATAGAACTACTGTCGCTGGAACTTCGTCTGGAATTTTGACCACTGGACTTTCTTTCATCCGAAGAAGAGCTTCGATCACTAATCACGTCTCTGATGAACGACTTCACTCTTGCTAATCCGTTTTGTTTGGGCGACACTGTTGACTCACTGACAGTATTGGCTCTATCCAAAGTTTTGGATCTGGATGTATAGTGGTTCTCCTGCTTGGAGAAGGCGCGTGATTTCGTAAAGCTAGCCTTTGAGTCCGCGACGGCCTTCCTCGTTTTTGCCAGTGCCTCCGCCACCACGCTCTGGTTAGGCCGCGGAGGCACTGGAGGTGGTCCTTTGATCTTGTTGCTTTTCATCGGTTGCGTTTTGGTTTGTACCATCAGCATGCTTGAAGTAAGCGTCACTCGAACAATACTATAATATGCGTACTATAGTAGAAGGAGCACGTAACACAAGCACCGCGTAAGTCACACACACGAGAGCGCTCAGAACGCAGGGCGACACGACCGTCCCCGCGGGCGCGCGGCACTCACTGTCTCACCGTGGCCACCGGCGTGCCGGCTCACCGCTACGCCGCCACCGCTCCAGCGCTACGCCGCAAAACTTCGTAATAATTACTGGCAGACTTGAAAATGACTTTGTTCGTAGCTTTGCCATGGTATTGCGTGTTTTGTAGTTTGCGGAGTACATACTATACAGCCTAACAATGAGTTGACCCACACTTTTAATAATGTAAAAGTGATTGTTTACTATGAGAATGAATGCAACTGTGGCTACCGGTCCGCGGCGCACACGACATGGCTATTGTTGGAGATGTCGAAAGCACTCTCTGACCTATTGTTTTACGCCAATCAAAATGTTACACTACAGTTGTTGTTTATAAGTATTTGGGTTGGGAGATCAATTGTCAATTACATGTTGTGTCTACACCCACAATAACATGTTCTGTCCTATAAGTAACACACATTCAATTTTCATAGTCCATTCAATAAAATACATTTCTTACTCATATAATATAGATACGAGATTTGACGAGAAGTATGAATGATGCCCCACAATTTTGTAAATAATACTATTTATAACAACACTTGTACAGAAATGATTCAGACCAAAGCTATTTTTGACACTAGAACATGTTTCTTGATGATGTCATATTTACATTATTAGATAACTCATTATAAAATACTTATGTAAATTAAATCAATAAAATAATACAAAGACTTTACAAATATGTAAAAGCATTGCATTATATATGGCAATATTAATTCAAAACTTATTCTAATAGGTTTTTGTACATAATGACAAAGACTTTCAATAATATTAAAAAAACATTTTATGGATTTAAGAAATCTATTTATTACATAAGTATCTTTATGTAACAAAATTGTTAGTATTTGAATTTATAATAGAATTTCTTAAACTTTCAAAATTGTTACTAAAATGCTGCTAATATACATACCTACTATACTTGTTAGTAATTGATTTGAATGTAATATTCAATGATATTCCAACATTATGTTAGGTAACTTATTTTTTGTTTTTTTTTTTATTATATAGAATATACAGCATGGAGTATTAGAAAGGAGTAGAAAAATCCAAACTAATATTATAAATGCAAAACTTACACTGGCTGTCTTTTCTTAACACCTAAACTACTGAACCTATTTGTGTTTGGTATAGACATATTTAGGAACTTGAGAAAGGACTTAGGATAGTTTTTAAACAAAAAATCTGCAGTCACTATTCCATGCAAACAAAGTCACAGAAAAAAGCTAGTAGAGTATATGTGTGAATGTTGGTGTTTGCTTAGGGTTTAATGAATTAAAAGATATTAATTGATCTTTTGTGTCTTAAATTATCACAATGGAAAGGTTAAATAAAATAATAATTTTTAATTCCCTGCTTGAGTCAGCTAAGGTTCATATATTATGGAACTGTTTTACAATGTCTGGATAACTACTATTTACTAGACTAGGTAAAATATATCATTAGATAATGTAGATTGTATGAACTATCAAATATTATATATTAAATATTATCAAATATTATGAGAATGGTGGGAAGTCCTGAATGTGACTTTTGCTTTTCTTCAATGGTGTTATGAGAATAATGTATTATTAGGATTTCTGTTTAAAAATTAATAAATACTTGTTAAAGGCTATTTTAAAACCTCATTGCTTAACAGCTTTAATTACCAATTTGGACATAATTAATTTTTATTACAATACCTACAGACAACAAATGAAACCAAGCTAGTAATGAGTCACACGAATTATGTAAAGTGATTACACAATTACCACAACAGACAAAAATTGTAACACAAAAATAGTTTTCTTACTTACATGCAAGCACTCTATTTGTTGTTGAATTTCCAATCCTGTCTGCACATGGGACACTGTTGCTGAGGTTGGGAGTGCAGCCACTTCACGATGCAATGTATATGGAAGCAGTGCGAGCACGTGCCCCACACCAAAGGGCAATCGTCTCCAGGCAGCTTGCAGTCAGGGCAACAACTATCAAAGGGCATACGACAAATACCACAGTTATCGTCGTTAGCTACCCACCGCCAAGTCGCAACGCCCGTCCAACCTACGCAATTAACGTTCAAGTGAAAATAGGATACAAATAACAATGAAATAGGCACATAGATAGCTTGGCCGTAGATTTGACAGGTTAAGGTTACTACTTACTTTTAATGGTTACTTTCATATCACGAATCTTACATGCCTTTGTGCGACTAAATTAAATAGTAAGACTTGTTTGTAAGCAGATTTACAAAAAATTTTCAAACAGTTTAGGAATTTAGCGATGTTATTCAAATTATAAACAAAATAACAACAATCGCTAATTTTGACAGCTTTTCAAGAACAGTTGGCCACAGATTATACTAGTCACAGACAGTTGACAGAAACAGATCAGACATTACAAATACCAATAATTTTAACCCGTAGACAGAGCCCGATTTCGTTTTGTTTGTTTTTGCTTCAAACCTTTTTTTGTGGAATTTCAAGAACATTATTGAATGTATTTTTTCAGATGATTATGGTTTGCCATTGATACATTTCAGTTAATGTGTAAAAGACATTCGCAGCATTAAAGATTTAAAGCTTTGTCAACGTATCCAAACGCAATTTGTTGACAGATTTTGGGCACAGGCAATATTATACAAATGTCACTCAATATAATCTTCAAAGAGTGTTTGATGTGTTGGAGTTTATTTATTTTATCCATATTTTATTGTGTTAAAATATAGTGAATATAATATAAAACATGACTTCGTTTGACACTAAATACGATGTAAGTTTATACACTAACCTTTACAATGTAAATAGAATAATTTCATATTGGAATGTCTTATTTGATTTTGATTGTTCCACCCAAAAAAAAGGATATTTTATCAGTCCAGGTGTAATTTTCGTATTATTTTGAAGCTGTCCAATATTTTGAACTGTTACTTGTTGTTAATTTATTTTTTACCCAAGTATAATATTTTATGAGTCATCGGCTTTTACGCTAAATTTAATTTCTTAATACGATTTGGGGTGATAGAGGTGTTTGGTAAACATTTATTTCAAATTTTTTATCACTCCAACTCATGCACTACTTCCTCTTAAAGTATTGGTGAGTTAGTTTATCACTGATAGATTTTAGTCATAATTTAAAATGTGGACATTTTCGTGTTATTTAGATGTACCCTGCAGGGGATGTAGGCGTTGTGGAGGGAGAAATGAATATCCCCACGAGGGGTGTACCCTCAGGAGACAGTATGGAGTTCAACACTCTAGATGAACCCATCAAAGAAACATTTGTAAGTAAACTACAAAAATAAAGACTACAAATTCAACAAAAAATCATATGATCTTAAATATTCAAAATAAGATGCTAAGATACCTATGTGAACATACTTGGACTTGATTATATTTTTCATTAAATTATAATGGATTAACAGTAAAGTAAAAAAAAAAATGGGTCAATGTAGGTTTTTATCACAATCATTCAATCACCAGTTATTACACTTAACAATATGTTATATTGTGTATATACAGCTATGACTTTTAAAGTAGGTCAACACTCTATTGTCATCTGTTTACAAAGTGGAACATGAAAATATTAAGTTATATACAGGGTGTCCGGTAAAGAATGGATAACCTTGAAATGCCTTTTAGTATATCCTTTGGCCATTCAGAAAAAACAACGAAAAGGAAAGTATCATAGGCAGTACCTAAATTATTATGTCTTGAAGTAAAAGATTTAAAAGAAAGAATAGTTTTTTGTCGTATTTTTTTTTTGTATAAAATTTTTGAATGGCCATAAGATATACTTAAAGGTATTGCAAGGTTATCCATTCTTTACCGGACACCCTGTATGTGAGTACCTACGTATCTCATTGGTCTTATGTGACATGTTTGTAACAAATGGGATACTACAATTGATTGGATCAGTTTTATCATTTATCTTCATAAATATTATGAGCAGAAACAGAAAGATTTACATTGAAACATTGCGGAGGATCAATTTACCATTAGCTAAGCTCTTTGCATTTGCTCAAAAAAGGTGCTACAATTTGATAGAATAATTTTTCATGTATACGGTCACTTCAGTCACAGAGTAAAAAGCAATGCATGCATTGGTTGTTTGATGCTAGTCTTCCCTGAGGCAGTGGTATCACTCTGCGAGCCAGCACATTCAAGCTAATTCTGCTCCCTTACTTATATTCTAGTTGATATTATTTGTTACTTGAAAGATGTTAGGTGCACATTAGGTTTTGTGTTTTCCAGCTCTCCTGCCATCAACACTATAGAAATGTAGTATTTAGTGAAATTAAATTAATAATTTCATATGAATAACAGTAGTGTTAATATGTGATAACTATTCCGATGTGGTAGATAAAACTATTGTGGACAAGTGATTTTTGTGTGGATGAAACAAATATTGTGGCATGACTCACTTCTGACTTCTGAGTCTTCAATTACTAAATTCCTTTTAATTCCTTTTTACTTGCAAGTTTAAGGTTTTTTTTAATACTGCGAGGCTTTAGGCTTAAAAACAAAGTAGCAAGGTATATCAAATATTTTTCTTTATTAAAATCAACTTGTAAATGTTGGTAATTATCTAAATACATTTCGTTATTAAAAAATCATTATCTTAGTTGTAATAATTAAACATTTTCCTCCATTTTAGATCAATTGTAGAATTGTAAAAAAGTTTGTTGTTATTAATATTTTTATTTTATTACTTTTAGCTTCGGGATCTGAGAGCAGTGGGCAATAAGTTTTACCATGTACTAATTCCTAGAGAGAAGTCTAGCTTGTTAAAGGAATGTGAGTAGCTTTTTTTATTTATTTTTTATATCATAAGGCTGTTTTAAAAAACATATTCAGATTTTAGATTTTGTTTTTATTTTTCTTCTTAGTTTCAAATCGTAGTTAGTGTTTGTAATTTGTTTTGTTTCTAGTGAATTGTGTGTACCTGTTTTGTATTCTGTTCAAATAAGGAATTTAAATTTAAATTTTATTATTTGATATAATTAACAGCATGTTAAGTAAATTAGTTTTGTGAATAATTCTCTCTTTATTAACTGTAGAGTAT